GTCTCCTCGTTCCACCACAGTAGCCGAAGCATGACAATATGCTTTAACTTAAATATTTTAATAGTTTCATAGTCAAGCATATCATGACGTCACAAGCCTGAGTTAGACACGGACATGCAGAAAAAGAAAATGATTTTCTTATGAAAATGGAAACCGGTTCAGCTAGTTTATCACACAAGTAAAACTACGTAATCAGACTCAATTTTATGAAAGGAAGAACGTGAATATCCTCAGAGGAGAACAGCTGTTTGAAGAGACAGGATTTATGAACTGGATGAAGTTTGTGTTTGATGGTCTTTATTGTTGAGACAGAGGTAGGTTTGAAGTGACACATATTTGAGATCATTCTCATGCATCATTATTGAACTGTAAAAGTCAGTACTTGGGATGCTTTATTCTCTGTAGTTATTTTTTTTCTTCTCTTGATTGCTTTTCCATACCAAATTCCTGCTGATAAAACACAAATAAAATGGAAACTGAACTATCCTGTAAAAATGTGTTATATCGGATTCCGGGAATGTGATCAGTGATTTCTCAGAAAAGGAAATCAACATGTCAGAATATCAGCTGTTATAAAATTATATTCAAGTATCAGGGGTTGGATTTACAAAACATTTTTAAGAAAATGAAACTTAACTGCTATTTTCTTTATTTGTAACTTATTTGTAAAATGATTAAGCATTACAGCCAGAGGTGTATAGTCACATCCTTTGTTGCCTTGTCACCTGATGAGTTTGCATCAAAATGTTAAATTTATTTTGGTGTTTCAAATATTAAGCATTACAACCAGAGGCATATATAGTCACGGAGCACAAATATATACAAATTACATATTACATAGTTAAAGACCATGGGGGGCACATGGTCTTTAACTATGTAATATGTAATTACATTTTACAATATGTAATTGTCCTTTTTATTTAAAGAATTTTAATGGACTTAATTGTATAATGCCAAACAGCAAAATAACTTTTTTGTGTGTGTAAATTAATCAATTTGAAGTATTTGCAAATATGTTTATTTTAAAACATGCACACATTCACTGTTAATTGTATAGTGACACAATTACTTCATTGTAATTGTATTAAATGAATAAACATTACTTACACTATGGAATAAAAACCCAATACAATTCTTTTTTGTGTTTTTATATAATGTGTTTTATTATATTTAGTCCTAGAATATAAAACATATTTTCACAGGATAATTAAGCTTCTTTCAGTAATTTTTTTGTGACTCCAAAAGGCAGATTACATCAGTTTTCTCTCCTGATGTAGTTGTAACGAATCAGCTCATGGGAAATATGAATAATTAATCATAACTAGTTATAATTAATTATGAATATTTTAGATCCGCTGTAGATATTTACTTGACCTCTCAGGGAAAATGTGGTCGGTCTGCTGAAACCATTTCATTTGCGTTTTGAACTCGACTGAACCAGTTTCTGTTTTCTCAAGAAATAGGGGAGCAGGAAAACAATGTTGTTTATTTACCAACAATATACAGGTAAACCAGTTTTCTTCCTTTCTGCATATGTCACACATACAATGACAGAAATTATAGTTCAGGAATCAGGATCACACAAACATTCCTCTACAAACTACATCTAACAATCTCACTTTATTTCTCATGATTGCACCTTTATATCTCACCATTGTTGTTTCATGTATTTGTGAGCATATACCGTATCTTGTATATCTCAACATTGTAAATTATAAGAAGCCAGTTGGGGCGAAAATTGTGTCATGGCGAGTTAGTTGAGAAAATGTCTTAGCCATAAATATTTCTTACTGGTCACGAAATTGTATTTTGCATTTTATTTTAATTAAGAAAGTTTTAAAATAAATATTTTGAATAAAGTAGTATTGTCCTTATGACAAAGGTCACTGTACGTGTTACTTGGGAAGACGTACGGCTTCCCTGTCAGATGCTTTGACAGATACATGTGCGTTTCAGCACATAACTTACATTTTACAGCAGGGATCCTTTGCTGTAAATGTTAGAAAGTCACAAGAGTGTTTTCATTTTGCAAGCGAGTCATTAAACTTCAAAGACTTCACTGAAGGAGCCCTGGTGCTTGGATGCACGTCAAACAGATGAAGCATAAAGGAACATGAGCACAATAATTCAGACTAAAATATAGGCTATATTTTGCTAAAATATTGGTTACATTTTAGTATAGGGACCAATTCTCACTATTAACTAGTTGCATATTAGCATGCCTATTATTAACATATTGGCTGTTTATTAGTAGCCTACTTATAAAGCACATATTCTGCATGACCATATTCTTCATCCCTAATCCTGCCCAATACCTAAACTTAACAAATACCTTACTATTAATAAGCAGCAAATTAGAGTTTATTGAAGCAAATATCATAGTTAATGGTTTGTTAATAGTGAGAATTGGACCATAAAATAAAGTGTGACCAAAATATTTTTGTAAGAGTGAAGAGATGAATATAATTATTATGTTCAGGTGAGTAATTGTGTGTGTTCTTCCTACCTGTTGACGGTTAACATCAAGTCTCTGCTTTTGTTTTTTATTCATTTTTAATTGATTTATTTATCTGCTTTCTTAAAGGGGTCATAGGATGCTACATGCACTTTTACAAGTTGTTTGAACTGAAATGTGTGTTGGCAGTGTGTGTACACAACCACCCTAAAATGATAAAAACCCACCCAGTGGTTTTTGTTAATCTACTAAAATCTTTACCCCTTTCTCAAATCGAGCCGATCTCAGATGGGCGGGGTCAGCAGAGCTCATTAACATTTAAAGGAAAATGCTACAAAACGGCTTGATCTGAAAAGAGCTGTTTTTGACAGGGTAAAAAAGGTGTTTTTTACACAACCATTGAGAAATTTTAATCAAACTATGTTACAGACTTTTCATTAAGACCCTAAAGAATCATATCAGCTTGTGGAAAATGGGCATCCTATGACCCCTTTAAGAATATTTTCATGAATCCAGTCTGCTCACCTCTTTCTTATGAAACAGCCAAAATTCAGCCAGTTTATGACACAAGTAAACCTATTTCTGCAGACAGACTGCATTTTGTGAAATGAAGAATTTAGATACACCACAACCTTAAGATCTAATATTTGTACAAAGATCTCTATATCCTAAAATACCATTAAACTATGGAAATATGGAAAGCCGAACACACCAAAAGAAGGAATCTGTGCTGCTCACATCAACAGTTACTGTATATGTTATATGGTCTCAAATGCATAAAACAACAATGGTGAGATATAAAGGTGCAATCATGAGAAATAAAGTGAGATTGTTAGATGTAGTTTGTAGAGGAATGTTTGTGTGATCCTGATTCCTGAACTATAATTTCTGTCATTGTATGTGTGACATACGCAGAAACGAAGAAATCTGGTTTACCTGTATATTGTTGGAAAATAAACAACATTGTTTTCCTGCTCCCCTATTTCTTGAGAAAACAGAATCTGGTTCAGTCAAATTTATAATGCAAGAGAAATGGTTTCAGCAGACTGACCACATTTTTTTTTAAAGAAAGCACTTGAACTACATCAGGAGAGAAAACTGATACAAATGTAATCTGCCTTTGGGAGTCACACAAAAAAAATAACTGAAAGAAGCTTAACTGTCCTGTGAAAATATGTACATCATACACATCATCGGGAGAGAAAACTGATTAAAAAAATTATCTGCCTTCTGGAGTCAAATAAATTGAAAGAAGCTTAACGTGAAAATGTGTTTTTTAATAGTTGAATTACTGAAATAAATTAACTTTTCCACGGCATTCTAATTTATTGAGATGCACCTGTATATATATAATAATTTACCTGAATGTGATCAGTGATTTGTCAGAAATTCAAATCAGAGTAGAAGAATTTCTTCAGTCAATTCAGTTCTATATATTGTCCATTTAAAAAGCACTGCCTGTAAAATGAATATCTGTGAGAAAAGAGAGGAGGAGGAGGATGTTCACACACATGAAGCAGCATCTCCAGAACCCAGCTGTGTGTCTGTGAAGAGTGACGAGTCCATAGAAAACCCCCCTGATCTCAATGATGGAGCAGTGACCTCAGACTCTGAGTGAGTATAAATGGGATGGAACATGATAAACAGGGATGTTGACTACAGACATGTTTCATACAAAATATAAAGTCTGCAGATTTCCCACTAGCCAGGATTTTCAGTTGAATTTTGCTTAATGTAAAGAGTTATTGAAGAATCTAAAGGAGTCTGTGCAAAGAAATATTAATTTTCTGTTTCTAGACAACTAGTGGGACGCTATCTGAACGGGCACTTCTGTGTGAATGTGGTGTCATTTCAAACTAGAGCGCTGAGTTTGATGTGCTGGAACATCTGAATGCAGTTTTCTGTTCATCTCACTGTTTCTACAGAGTGAAGAGTGATGATGTGATCAGATCAGTGATGTTCTATCTGACATGCTTTGTCTCCTACTGTCGGAACTTTCTGGGGTGGCAAAACATAGAAGCTCTGCAGACACACAAACTGCTGAAGGAAAATGCAGACTTACAGCACAATTCTCACCAATCAGTAGATGATGTTGTAGTTCTGGACTGGACCGAGGGAAAAGCCAATCAGGATGTAGATTTCATGTTTGTGCTTCCATTTCGAGAGCTGAACTTGATTAAAGATCACCAGTACAGTCTTCACAGACTTCTGCTGGACTTTCATCCTGAACTCAAAGATCTGGACTCAAAGGTTTATGAAGAGATTAAAGTTGTGTTCATCTTTGATGGTCTGGATGAAAGCAGAATTACACTGATGTTTTCAGACATTGAGAAAGTTTGTGATGTGAATGAGTCTTCATCAGAATGTTGTACAGAGAGTGAAAGATCAACATAAAACCAGCATGAAGAACAAGTATGAGAGATTATTTGAGGGAATCACAGTAGAAGAGACTCAAACCCTCCTGAACTGGATCTACACACAGCTCTACATCATAGAGGGAGAGTGTGAAGGGGTGAATGAAGAACATGAGGTCCTGCTGACTCAGATCAACATGAGGAATCAGAAGTATGATGAGAGAAATCCAGAGAAACTCCTGAAGTCCAACAGAGAAGTGATTGTGAAACTTGCTGAATTGGCTTTCAGTCAGCTGATGAAGGACAATGTGATGTTCTATGAGGAGGACCTGATTGAGAGCGGCATAGACGTCACTGATGCCTCAGTGTATTCTGGAATCTTTAAAGAGGAATCTGTGATTCATCAGAGGAAAGTTTACAGCTTCATACATCTGAGCTTTCAACAGTTTCTAGCTGCATTTTTTGTGTTTTACTCAAATGTTGTCAAAAATCGGGAATCACTGCAGTTGTTCCTGGATGGATGTAACTGGAACATCTGGGAATGCGGTCTTCTGCATGAGATACTAAAAGCAGCAGTTAATAAATCATTGCATAGCAAAAATGGACACTTGGATCTTTTCTTGCGGTTCCTGTTTGGTGTCTCACTGGAGTCCAACCAGAGACTCTTACAGGATCTACTGACTCACACAGTGAACAGCTCAGAAACCATCAAGAAAATCACACAGTACATTATTAAAGACAAAATCAAGGGTAATGAATGTCTCTCAGCTGACAGATGCAATAATCTGTTCCTCTGTCTGCTGGAAATGAAGCATCAGACTCTGTATAGAGAGCTTCAGGAGTTTGTGAAATCAGAGAATCGCTCAGTGAATCAACTCTCCCCGTCTCACTGCTCAACGATAGCCTACATGATTCAGATATCAGAGGAGGTGCTGGATGAGTTTGATCTGAAGAAATACAACACATCAGATGAGGGTAGAAGGAGACTGATACCAGCTGTGCTGAACTGCAGAAAAGCTCTGTGAGTATTAATTGATGTGTCTGTGTGCGGTCACATGTTAATATATTCATCATTATGAATTGCATCCTTCACAATACCAACAATATCAGATAAAGCTTATTTTGCAGCCTTTTTGAACAGGTTAAGTCTGAGTTCTGTAAGTCACAGTTTGTTTCATAGTACATCAAACTCTTTTAGTTCAAAAGCTCAAGGAAAATTTGATTTGTCATAGGTATGGGCATTTTTCAACAATATTGTAATTGAATATTTAAGTTAATAAAAATTAAACAATCAAGTTTGTTAAAGCACTTTTTATTTACTGCCCACCAATAAATCAGATCCTTATCTGGTGGAATTTATGGTTCCATCAACAACTGCAGGCAAATGCAATTAACTTGTGTCTACACGCCATCCAATGAATGTTATAACTGTGAGTGTCAGTTTCGGTGTTAAGGATTTCACATGCATTCATTACATTTACATCAGAAAATTATTTCAGATTGAATATTTGAATATTTAAATAATCATGCACCCCCCTAATTGGTCATTATATGACCCTTTTAACATGAAATGCTAATCTAATAATGTTAATTTGTAACCATGTAATTAGGCAGAAAAACAACAGCAACAGCCCAATAAAGTAAATCAAATTACAGGTCAGAAGCACAAAAAAGCCTTTACATTATTACCCCCCCTTAATTTTCTCTCTTCTTTATTAAACTATATTTCATTGTGTGTCATAGACTTGCTGACTGTAATCTCACTGGTCAGTGTTGTAAAAGTTTGTCTTCATCTCTACAATCATCAAACTCACTGAGAGAGCTGGACCTGAGTAACAATGACCTGCAGGATTCAGGAGTGAAGCTGCTCTCTGATGGACTGAAGAGCTCAAACTGTCAACTCAACATACTGAGGTTTGGGATTTCTTTTTCAAATTGAATAGTTTTTGAAGTGAAGTAGTGCAGCAGAATACCCATTTATACTGTTTGGTTCACCAGTTTTACAATTTTTGGCAAATGCCCTGATGAAGTGAATATATATTAATGCCATAGTGTAACACAACTCCTGTAGATAAATTATAAATACAAATAATTTGTCATTGTCTTGCTTTTGCCTGTCATTTTTTTGTTCACTGTTGAATATTATAAAGAATGTAATACATAGTATTATTTTGGGGAAAGCCAAGGTGAGGGCCTTCTTTTAATAAGGATGGATGCCATCAGAACCAACAACAGGGTCTACTTTCATACCACGTCAATTTTTTTTACACTTATCACAAGTTTGTACAGTATTTGTACTCTGATCTGTTTAGATTGACAAGCTGTAAACTCACTGGTCAGTGCTGTAAAGGTTTGTCTTCATTTCTTCAATCATCAAAATCACTGAGAGAGCTGGACCTGAGTCACAATGATCTGCAGGATTCAGGAGTGAAGCTGCTCTCTGATGGACTGAAGAGTTCAGACTGTCAACTCAACATACTGAGGTAAGAAAAGCAGATAAATGTTCACTTAGTAATAAAATTAAAAACGTCCTCTTCTCTGGTCCTGATCTCCTGAGTGTTTGCAATCAGTGTGTCTGAAGATTGTATTTGTATTTGCTCCAGTCTGTTATTTTTATTTTTTATTTTATTATTTTTTTCATTTTTCATATTTTTGAAAATCAGTGAAACACTAAATGTTCACTTAGTAATAAAATTAAAAACGTCCTCTTCTCTGGTCCTGATCTCCTGAGTGTTTGCAATCAGTGTGTCTGAAGATTGTATTTGTATTTGCTCCAGTCTGTTATTTTTATTTTTTATTTTATTATTTTTTTCATTTTTCATTTTTCATTTGGAGTTAATCCAGCTGAACTGAACATGTAATCAGTGATGTGTGGATAAAAAGTGACAGACTGAATAAATAAATCAAATAAATCAAAAAGCAGATTTACAGGAATCTGAACACTCTTGTGTGTGAGTTCTACGTTAACTCCCTAATGCTAGCCATTAGGCCAGGGGAAGTCGTGGCCTAATGGTTAGAACCCAAAGGTTGCGGGTTCGAGTCTCGGTACTGGCAGGGATTGTGGGTGGGGGGAGTGAATGAACGCTCTCTCCCACCTTCAATACCACAACTGAGGTGCCCTTGAGCAAGGCACTGAACCCCCAACTGCTCCCCGGGTGCGCAGCAAAAATGGCTGCCCACTGCTCTGGGTGTGTGTTCATGATGTGTGTGTTCACTACTGTGTGTGTGCACTTAGGACTCACACAGAGCACTAATTCTGAGTATGGGTTACCATACTTGGCCACATGTCACAATCACTTTCACAATCTGTATTGTTAAAAGCGCTATATAAATAAAGGTGACTTGACTTGACTTGACTTTAAGAAAAAAATTTAAATCAGAATCTGTTTTTCCCCCATAACCATGATACAAACAAAACATTGCCAAATCAATTCCAGGTCACTGAAATGGATGTAGCCTAAATGTATGTGCATGTTGTAGTCTTGAACCTGATCAGTTGTGATGTCACATAGCATGTTATCTTGAATGTTTGTGTGTTCGTAGATTATCTCGCTGTATGGTGACAGAGGAAGGCTGTTGTTTTCTGGCTTCAGCTCTGAGTTCAAACCCCTCACACCTGCAAGAGCTGGATCTGAGCTACAATCACCCAGGACAGTTATTAGACAAGCTGCTCTCTGATCCAAACTACAGACTGGACAAACTCAAGTATGTTCAACGCTAACAATCATCATGTGTATTAAAATGTGTGCAGTATCCTCGCTGTCTGCAGTTTATAAAATGTGTGCTGTATACTCACACATGTAGTATAATCACTAAAAACTGTTACGGTTGATAGATTTTGTGACTCCATTTCACATACAGACTAAAAGAGGGTTAATTGTGGCCTTAATAATATCAGTTATTGATTAAAACACTTGCACAAATGAAAGGATATAGACACACAATGATCAGTGAATGTAAAGGTGTGTCTGTATGTCAAAGCTTGAGGATCTTATCCAGTGATAGAGGCTGTGAATCAGGAACTACATGACATGATGGAGGACAGAGAGAGGATATCCAAGCGTCTTCATCAGGAAAGACACCAGTCTGAGTTTAGAGATATAGTTCAGCTAAAAAATACAATTCTGTCCTAATTTACTCATCTTCAGGTGTATAAAAAGGTGTATGACTTTCATATTTATTTTTTATTAGTGTTGCAAAGTTACACTCAGTTGAACTAACTGAAAACTGCATGTAGCCTGAAAAATAGCCTGATTAAAACTTAAGTGATAAAAAATAACTAGTGATGCATCGAAACATGAGAATGATTCTTCTGATTTTATTACATTCAGTTTAAACAGCGACTGATAATAGTTACTGTATTTCTGATATCAATGTCACTGTAACGGGGCTGACAAGACGTGAGACTTGCGGATCCATATGCAAAAATCAGCTGTGACTAGACTTTCCTCATGAAGATCAGTTGTGACTCGACTTGACTCATGATGATCAACGGTAACTTGACTTGATTCATGAAGATCAGCTGTGACATAACGGGGCGCTGTTGTGTCCGCCATTTTGCGATCAGGCTCCGCTGTCGCCGCCATTTTGTGAGCGTGCTCTGGTACAGCCGCCACTTCAGTCACAGACACTGTGTCGCGTTCTTCCTCCGCGACACCCACAGTAAACAAAGATCCAACAGTCAACAATGCATAATCCATTAACTGAGCGAGTGATGAACGTGGACCCTCGTGTCTAAGTTTAGACCTAAGAGGTTGATTTATGCCATCGCAGAAAAACTCTATCAATGAACAGTCTGGTAAATCAGAATAGTGAGCGATGGCTAAATGATAAGCGCATACAATACTCGGCCGAGAATGGTTGTTTGAGTGAGTGTTATATAGTGAGTGAGTGATATGAAACAGCTGTGTGCAATCAGTGCTGTGTGCAATCAGTGCAATGAATGATGGGATATGTAGTCCGGGGTGATATGCAACAGTGTGTAGTGCGAGAGTAAATGAAAATGGAAAGGGTGACCTCTGATGGCTAGCAGACGGAAGTTCATGGACCGGATTCGTGACAGTCACACTGTTAAGCTCTCTGTGATGCGGTGCTTTTGTGGGGATATTTTGTATGGGATATTGTCTGCTGATATGAAATGTTCACTGTATATCATAATAATAAATAGCATTGTTGACAGTGATGATATTTTGTTTTCTTTTTAAATTAAACACATTAAATATTACATATATACGTATGTAATATAATGTGTATTTCCATCACAGGTTTGGTCTTAAATTTCACAATGTCTTAAAAAGTCTTAAATTTAACTTGTTCATATCTGTAGACACCCTGAATAGATTATGTAAAATATTAGCATGAACAACTATCTGTATTCTCTAATATGGCAACTGTCATAATCCTTTCTTGTTATAGTGTGGATCATGGAGGAGCATTCAGGATTACAGAAGGACCACAGAAATGTAGGACACACACACAACCCTTAATAGTTGTTGTTTTGTTGTGTTACAGATGTTATAATCTCTCTTCTTGTGTTCAGATGCATGTGATCTCACACTGGATTTAAACACAGCAAACACTCTTCTCACTCTGTCTGAGATGAACAGAAAAGGGACACGTGTGAGAAAGAAGCAGCCGTACCCTGATCATCCAGAGAGATTTGATGAATGGTGTCAGGTTCTGAGTCGAGAGAGTCTGACTGGACGCTGTTACTGGGAGGCTGAATGGAGTGAGAGGGCTGATATATCTGTGTCATATAAAGGAATCAGTAGGAAAGTATGGTGTACTGACAGTTTGCTTGGGTACAATGAAAAGTCTTGGAGTCTGAATTGTTTTGATAACAAATGTATTGTGAGACACAATAAGTACAGAAAAGTCATACCTGTCCCTTCAAGTCACTCTAACAGAGTAGGAGTGTATCTGGACTGGTCAGCCGGCACTCTGTCCTTCTACAGCGTCTCTTATTCACACACACTCACACACTTACACACATTCAACACCACATTCACTGAACCCCTCTACGCTGGATTTGGGGTTTATCCGTATAGGTCAGTGTGTCTGTGTTAGTTTTAACAGCTTCCTGTGAGAATCAAGTGAGACACAGAGTTGAGAGAAAGAAACGCACTCACATTATCTCTCTTTGACTCACACAGCTGTTCTCTTTTCTGATCTTAATTTTAGTTTATAGAAAGAAACACACAAAGAAGGTATGTGTGCTCTTATCATTTTGTGGACAAAAACCCCTCCTAACTTCACCCCGATCCGGAGCTTTGTGTACAAAATATGAACGCTCCCACCTGTTTTTAATGTAGCTAACCTCGGGCCTCTTCATGTCAGGTACCCGCAGTCATTGCAACATCGCTCTACGTAGCCATATGCTTTTTTAAAAATCAATTTTCACATTTCTGGATTCATTCTTATGCATTGGTAAATCAATTTGAATCTGCATGTGTAAAATGCTTATATTTCTATCCTATTGCAATGTAAGAGTATTTTCAAAAGCATTTGTCTTTCTACAGAAACTTTGTCTTAGTTTTCGCAGCCTTTAATATTCAGATTGAATGTAGGGCTTTTTCTGAAACTGTTGAACTGGGAGATGAATTGAACAGCATTTCAGTGATTAGCCTATTCATCCTAAGCTTTAAGGCTCAGATTGTGAATGTGTTTGTGAGTCTGTTAGAAAAGTATAGTTTATTTTATTACATGTTTTTACATTGTGTGGCATAATAATTCTTAATTAAGTTTTCTTTGTCATTGTTTCTCTTATTAGTCTAAATTAATCAATTCAGTTGTCTATTTCTGTAGCACTGCCTGTAAAATGTCTATGAGATGAGAGAGGAGAAGGATGATGTTCACACACATAAAGCAGCATCTCCAGAACTCAGCTGTGTGTCTATGAAGAGTGACACATCTATGATGAAACCCCAAATTGTAGTGATGAAGCAGTGACCTCTGACCCTGAGTGAATATAAACATGATTTAACCTCTGTATTGAAACTGTTCATAACACACTTCAAGATATTAAATACTGAGACAGATTATTTTACTGTTGTCATTTGAATATTTGTGAATAGATGACTTACAGTATAAGCCAGGGCTGGGCAACTTCGGTCCTGGAGGGCCACTGTCCTGCAGAGTTTAGCTCCAACCCTAATCAAACAAACCTGAACAAGCTAATCAGTGTCTTCAAGATCACTAAAAAGCTACAGGCAGGTATGTTTGACTAGGGTTGGAGCTAAACTCTGCAGGACAGTGGCCCTCCAGGACCGACGTTGCCCAGGCCTGGTATAAGCCCTTGTTTTTCATTATCATATAACTCAGTGGTTCTCAAACCTGTCCTGGAGTACCCCCAGCCCTGCACATTTTGTATGTCTCCCTCATCTATCACACCTGATTCAACGCTCATTAGTGGAGACTGCAAGACCTGAAGTGGGTGTGTCAGATATAGGGAGACATACAAAATGTGCAGGGCTGGGGGTACTTCATGGAGAGATTTGAGAACCACTAATATAACTCACAAGTCAGAAGTGGAAAATAGGAGGAAGAGGACAGAAATATACATTTTTAAAATAGAAGATGGTTTATAATTTTCTGTGACTTGTATTTGTGTGATTTACTTCCACCCATGTTAAATGTTTATAAAATGTATTAGGATATCAGATTAAAGCATCAAAAAGGAAAAGAAAGGCATTTTTCTGTTTCGTTCGAGTTATACAAGGAGATATAACATTCAGAATGCATATTGTACAACACTGGAAAATCTGTATGTGAATAATTTGAATGAGCTTTAGAACTGAGATTAGAGAATAGCAGAATGGATTTATGAAGTGGATGAAGTTTCTGTTCATCTCACTGTTTTTGAAGAGAGAAAAAAGGTGATGTGATCAGTTTATTGATGTTCTACCCCACTCGCCTCATTTCGTACTGTCGGACACTCATGGGGTGGCACACCACAGATGCAGCCTTGCAGACACACACACTGCTGGAGGAGACTGTGACTGTTTTTCAGACTACCAGTGGATGATGTCCTGCAGAGACTCAAAGATCCTTAAAGAGTGTTCATCCAGCCGTCTGTCCTTCTACAGCGTCTCTACTATCCTTGTGGGGACATTTGGTTCCCATAACGTGATAAATACCAGGTACACACACACACACACACACACACACACACACTTACACACATTCAACAGCACATTCATTGAACCCCTCTATGCTGAATTTGGGCTTGACTGGGGTTCCTCAGTGTCTCTGTGTGAGATATACCAAACTTCCTGTAGGAAACAACTGAGACACCCGGTTGAGAACACACTGACATTTCCTTTCTAATTAACTAACAGCTGTAATAGATCTAATAGTTCAAATATGGAAACATTTAGTGTTTTTAGAAAGATATTTGAATGCGGCTCAACAGGAGATTTGTCTTTTTGAATCTCTGAGCGCCACCTGGAGGAAGATGTAGTTTCTAGCTCACAGGAAACAGTTCTTATCAAGCATTTGCTCTGTTACTATGGTAACTGAGGTTTCAGTCAGAGCTCATCTTCTAAACACGCTTTCATTACGAATGTTAAAGGATGTGGAGCTCATCTTACGCTCCGTGTGGAAGATTGATGTCTCTTCCTGATCACTGGTTCTCACAATCACAGTCTGATTGTTCATTAGAGTTGAACATGTGGATCAAACTCATGTCAGATTTAGTCTTTAATATTATATAATATAATATATAATATTACCAACATAATTATGGGCTGATATTTTATTCTCAAATTATGCATTTTATCTTGTTTATCCCAAATATCCAAAGCGGTTTACTCAAATGTTATTATTAACATTGTTCTTTTTTAAATTAATGATCAATAAAATGTGTTTTCATGTTCATCACTCATATTTCAAAATCTGTTAGATACAAAAATAACATGTCAGGTATTTATTTTAAGCATCTGCAAATTTAATACCTAGCAATGTTGCTGTTTTACAAATTAATGCCAACTGAAATTGTAGGACATCAGTGCTATTTCAAGGTCAAATTGTGAATCCAGTGCAGCGCGTTAATCTCATCACCAGAGGGCTCTGATACCTGCTTATCGAAATGGACTCTTAATATTCGACACAATTCAATTTTTTCACACAATTAGGTTTATACATTACTTGATATTTTAATTATTGGTAACAATTCAGTTCAATATCTATGTTAATCTATTTAGATATCATGAATATATGAGCACAGAGAACTCATCTGAACAAATATATTTTAAAGTATTTTATAAAGTCTATATATATATACATGTATATAGGCTGTGTTTCTGTACAATGTGATATGTGATATTAATGTTTTCTCGTTGCAAAATTTAATATTAATTGTATAACATCTGTGATGTGTATCTGTATGTATAAACCTGATTTCTTTTTCGAGATGTTTTCATAAATTAATTGAAGTGGAATGTGGATAATCTTGCAGTAAGTACTATTTAGGAAACAACAATAACTAAAAAGTGCATTTTAGATTAGTTGTTCATTTTTAACAAGACACACATACACATAGTTGGCTAAATGTAATAGATAGCCTAATGTTTGTCTCATATTCCTCAGTATTTGTGTGTCTTGTCTGTGTGTGGTGTGTAAGCCACTTTCACATGCAGTGATGATAAAGGAGGAGGAGGTTCCTGCGCTCATGTTGGAGGATGAAAACAGGAGGCTCAGTTTGTGCTCCAGCAGCTCAGGAGAGAGATGTGACGACACACGCTGTGATTTCAGGTGAGAATGAGCTGATTAAATGAGCACTGAATGCATGACACAGATATAATACATCAGCCAGATCACTAAACTAGTGTCCTGTTAGGAATTATTGCATGGTGGCTGTTGTACCAGCTATTATATTTTAGTTAAATTATGGCACAGAACGGCTCATCAACAGGACACATGCTGTATGTTTAGGAAACTTACTTTTCTGTCTGTTGTTTCAATGTCTTGTTGATTCAAAAATGTTTACAGCAGATATCTAGGATGATCTACAAATCATCAGGATGTAATTATTAATAATTATTATGATTGAATATGTAATTGCCCTTGACTTTCTGGCTCAAACCATGGTACACTGTAAAAAATGATTGTGATTTTAACAGTAAAAGACTGTAAAAATGCTACAGTAAAAACCTGTTAATTGGTTATCAGTAACTTTCCATACTATATACGGTGAATAACTGTAATTACATTTAATGTAATTTTACAGTAAAATACTGTATTATACAGTCAGTGTATAATTTACATCGAAAAAATGTAAATTGACACTCCCAGAATTCCCTGCATGACACTTCCTATTTTATGTTTTTTCATAGAAATAACTATGTTTCTTCTTAGTTTTTTTCTTATCAGTTGTGTACATTAGGGTTTTAACTTACATCTAATGTTGTTAAATGAATGTTTAAGAATTTAAGTTAAGTCTGTAAAACCTAAAATGTTGCTACCATATTTTTAACGGTGAAGTTCTGGCAACCACAGCTGCCGGTATTTTACCTTAAATGTCACAGATTTTTTTTACAGTGTAGTTTATCACATCTGTAACTGCTACTGATCTGAAGTGATTCATTCTCATCTTCATTCTGCAGGGAAGCTGTTTGGATGATCATGGCTGGACTGGAATGCAACAAATATCTGTCTCTTACCAGCGAGATGGAGCTGATTTTAACTGAAGACATCTGACACCATGAGGATGATGATGTTGAGAATGAATTTCATCATTTTGTGTCTCTCAGTCTTATTGTTTTGTACCTGTCCCATCTCAGCAGCTGATGTTCATCAGAGGTCAGTGGTACCCAGAGCAGCATCCCGCTCTGTGGCAAGGATGGATGGTGATATCATCATCGGCGCTCTGTTTTCTGTCCATCACCAACCAGCGGCAGAGAAGGTCTCAGAAAGAAAGTGCGGTGAGGTCAGGGAACAGTACGGGATCCAAAGGGTGGAAGCGATGTTTTATACACTAGATAGAATAAATGCTGATCCAAACCTTCTTCCCAACATCACTCTGGGTTGTGAGATCAGAGACTCCTGCTGGCACTCATCAGTGGCTTTGG